ACAAGACTTTTTTTGTTTCTGTCTTAAAATAATTTTCTTTTTTGCTATCTGAAACAGAAAATAAAACTCAAATCATTTAAGAAATTTTGCTCATCCCCTTTTGACACTAAGAACGAGAAACGCTTTGTATTTTAATTTTAATTTCAGTATTTAAAAACAAAAATCAAATATCCAATCGTTTCTTGTTTTTTAATTCCTGTTTCAAAAATGAAAATCCAAGGAACAAAAGGGTCAGTGTATCTTTTGGTCATTGGATTTTTCATTTTGGAAACTGGTATTAAAAAATAAGAAACAAGCTGTTATTTGATTTTTATTTTAAAACACTGAAATAAAAATTACCGGTAAAATACAAAGCGTTTCTCATTCTTAGTGTCAAAAAGGGATAAACAAAATTTTAAAATGATTTGAATTCCATTTTCTGTTTCAGATAGCAAAAAAGAAAATTACAGTACTTTAGGACAGAAACGGAAAAAGGCTTGTTTGTTTGTATTATACGACTATTTATTCCCCCACCAGAGGGGGCGCTCGCCTGACAGCTCTGCATTATGAAACACTTATTTCTGTAAATAAGAGGCTGAAATCACAGAGAAATATGTCCATAAATGAGTTGTATGATGACTGTTGCTCAGTGACCAAAGGCTGCAGAGATACTTCATGTGGCTTTTGTCCAAATAAGTCTCTTTTACTGAATACATGTCGGCTACTGCCTCCACTTCACCTCATTTCTTCCAATAAAAAGCAAAATATGACAAATTACTGTAACCCTAAAATAATCTGTTTCACCACCAGAAGGGTTGTCTGCAATATCAAAGTTATTCGATAAACATCCCATTACAAGTAAAAAGCATTGATGTTGACTTTGGTAGCAAATAAATTTGCCAAGTATTTATTTGGTATCAGATCGATATCAAAGCCGTAGTACCGCCCACCCTTCGCTGAAAGGAAAACTCAGAGGACGCGAACTGACAGAAAAAAGCAAGATTTTGTCAAAACTCAGGAGGAAAATAACTTTCTGTTCACAGAACAACAACTGTACAACACACTCATATAATGAAAGTTGTCATATTTTGCTTTTTATTGGGAGAAATGGAGGTGAAGTGGAGTAGCTGACATGTATTCAGTAAAAGAGACTTATTTGGCCAAAAACCACATGAATTATCTCTGCAGCCTTTGGTCACAGAGCAACAGTCATCAGACAACTCATTTATGGACACTTCTCTATGTTTCAGCCTTTTATTTACAGAAATCAGTATTTTATTATGCAGAGCTGCCAGGCGAGCATCACTTCTGGTGGGGAAATAGTCATAAAATAACAATCAAGCCTTTTTCGTTTCTGTTTTAAAGTTATTTTCTTTTTTGCTATCTGAAACAGAAAATGAAACTCAAATCATTTAAAAAAAATTATCCTTTTTGACACTAAGAATGAGAAACGCTTTGTATTTTAATTTTAATTTCAGTGTTTTAAAACAAAAATCAAATAACAGCTCGTTTCTTGTTTTTTAATACCCGTTTCTAAAATAAAAATCCAAGGAACAAAAGATACACTGACCAAGTTGGTACGACCTGTTCATGGATTATGAACAAACAAGCCTTTTTTTGTTTCTGTCTTAAAGTAATTTTCTTTTATGCTATCTGAAACAGAAAATGAAACTCAAATCATTTAAAAAAATTTTGCTCATCCCCTTTTGACACTAAGAACGAGAAATGCTTTGTGTTTGAATTTTAATTTCAGTATTTTAAAACAAAAAATCAAATATCCACTCGTTTCTTGTTTTTTAATACCCGTTTCTAAAATAAAAATCCAAGGAACAAAAGATACACTGACCTACATTGAATGCACTTGAACAAAATTAGATTTTAATTTTTAATTTGTCCCTTTTATGTAACCTGGAAGTTTGATAAGAAGCATTAGCAAACAACCAACGTTAGCTCTTCCACACACTTTATCATAGTTGGTGGCAGGACAAAAGTTAGCTTGTCACTTGCTTTATTTATTACATAAATAAATAGTTGTAGATATAACGCCCACCATGATCAAAGGACCATATAAGCCAGTCAGATCAGCCATGAATAGTTATGAAAGACATCTGAGTAGATAATTTTTATTGTTTAATGAAAACAACACTACAAACAGGTAACAGGCTGCATACTAATGAAGAATTTATTGGGTTGTTTACTACTAACGTTTAAAGACACGACACATTGTATGGTCTTTTATTGGGTGAACAGTAATATCTTTTATAATGTGGTTATTTCTGATTGAATTAATGATTTTACCTGCAGACTGGGTTGTGGGACTCTTGATCAGGGTCTCTCAAACACTCAGGAGGCTTTTAGTCAGATACATGCCTGATTTAAAACAACACATATAAGAACTGTGATTAAACATTAGTGTGAGGAATAAAGTCTGACATTTCTGACTCCGTGTGGAGACAGCCTGCTCCTTTAACATGAGGTGGAGTCAGGATATGAAGAAAGCTGTTACTTCATGTGTGTTTCCTGGGTTTTTTCCTCACAGCTTGGCTGATGCCTGCTGGAGGCACAGAAAAGGTTAATCAGTCCACAGCTGTGTCCGGATGGTTGTGTACGGCTCACTCCAACATTCACATGTCATTATTCTTATCTGGTGTTAGATCTGAACAGGTAAAGGGCAACGAACTGTAAGAAAAATACGTGTTCAGTACGACTGAAGTCAAGATGAAAACACAACTGTTAAATAAAATGATTTGTGGACAGAATAAAGTCATACAACACCAGAATCCTGGAACCTGAGTGAGGTTTATTTGTCACCGGGCTGACAAGGAAAACCACACTGGCTAAAAGCCAGGAAGTACCTGTTTTTATACACGATTCTTCAATGCCTGAGTTCGCCCCCTACTGACCTACGGCTGAATCACAGGCATTCAGACAAAGATCTCAACCTAATGTTATAACGGTTCACTTATGTGTTGTTTATGATTCGGGCATGTAACTACTCTATATCAATTAACACATAGTAGATTAATAATAGATCAAACATTATAAAAAGGAAACCCTAATAATCTAGTGTTGTGCTTCTAACATCTGTAATAACTATAAATTTCTTCAGAACACTGCTTATGTTTTAACACAAAGATCATATTGTTGAAACCTTTCATATTCAATGTAAGCATGTCTGCAGTGTGGTTTATAATAACTTTATACACATCTGCACACAAAAATCTGGAGTAACAATAACTATTTAAAGCTTTTAATATTCTCTCCATGCTAGCATCAATGTTATACCTTGTCCTCTTATTATTGAACATGTCAGCTGAACAACCTTTATTTTACAGTTCAAATCAACTTTGATCAAATAAAGTCTAATGTTAAAATTAATTGTGGATCACTTTTAAACTAACTAATAATACATTTAACTTGGAATTGTTAGAACATAGGATAAACACAGAGCTAAAGAAAATTAAAAATTGGTTTGACACGAATAAATTATCATTGAACTTCAGCAAAACGAAATTCATTATTTTTGGTTTTGTTAGAGCTAAACTAGAATAACAAGTTCGTTTAGAGGGGCTTCAAATAGAAAGGGTGACTGAAATTAATTTTCTTGGAGTAATAATTGATGAAAAATAAGCTGTAAATCTCATATCAGACGTGTACAAACCAAAGTGTCAAGATTATAATATTACATAAAACAAAACGAGTTCTGAATTACAAATGTCTTCATATTCTGTACTGTTCCATAGTTCTTCCATATTTAAATAACTGTGCAGTAATTTGGGGCAATAATTACAAAACTGTTATACAACATTATTCATTTTGCAAAAGAAAGCAATGATAATTCATGGGGTTGGATACAGGGATCACACCAATTCATTATTTTTTGTCAAAACTACTAAAATGTACAGATCTGGTAGAGTTACAAACAGCACTAATAACATTTAAAGCAAAAAAACAAATTATTACCAGGCAATATTCAGACATTATTTGTTGAAGCGGAGAGGCGTTATCATTTAAAGGGTTAACTTTAAATCAAGGGTTGTTCATAAAACTCGTAAAGCGTTTTGTATTTCTGCAGAGTAAAACTGTGGAACTTAACGAATGTCCAAACATTATAAGATTAAGATGTAAAAAAATGTTATTTACAAAAAATAGGGATGCTGAGTGTGTCTGAGTATTGTTATTACTTTTTATTTATTTTTATTTTTCCAATACATGGAGCTGTTTGTGGCTGTGTATATATGTGCGTACATGTGTGTATGTGTACATTTATGTGTGTATGCATGTACAC